GCGCTTTGGTCAAGTCTCCTAACTTGAATAAAGGCGCTATATAAGTACATGCCATTTACCATTTTACCATTTAAAAGTCCTACTGTGTATTATGCAAAATTAACTTTGCCGTTTCAGAATATGTGCGTTCTCATGTGCTCGTGAAACGTCATAAGCCTCAGCCCCGGTACTGTTCCAGTTCACAACACAAGACAGAGAACGGATGTTGATCTCATCCCTTTCTCTTTACCGAGCAAGCAGCAGAGCAAGTTCGTGTGTTCGAAACGGAAAGAACAGAGGTGTGGAAGACCCCATGCCAGCCTCCCCTCCTGCTCGGATGTAGTGTTTTTGCCTGTTGGACTACTGTGTAATTAAAATCTGGGGGAGAGTAGGTGTGCCCCGCCGCCTCTCCCATCCTAAACCCTAAGTGTCTAAACGCATTCCAACAGCCACAGGTGGGCCTGAGCATCGGAAGCAAAAACTGAAAAGCTGACCCACCTCCAGTGACCAGAATATGCCCACCCTGATGCCCTACATATGTATGTCTTAGAAATTATAATTGGGGCATAGGCCACCACCAGTAGGGGAGGACCCACGCTGTTAATAATGTTGTATTTTCAATTGTAGTACAATATGGGACCTTTATTATCGGTCTATATCTATAAGTAATGATACGTTTCTTGTTTTATCATTTCTAAATGGCTGAAAAATTAAGATTAAGATTAAGATTAAATCCTTTCCTCTGCCTACATCCCCCACAATGCTGTGCAGTTTTGATTTGAAGTATATTTAAATTATAGAACATAATGTATCATTATTGTTCAGGTGTCTCTCACGATACTCATTGTTACTCTTTTATTGCCCAGCCTTACATTTCATCACTATAAAAGGTTATGTTGAAGAACGTTTTGGAATTTTGATGCATGGTTTATCTGATGTTTATATTGGGTGTTTCAACATTTTGTAATATGTAATTTCTGGAAAAGACTGTCCAGTAAAAACATCCAGTCCTTTAACATAACCTGTGTTGAGTATAAAAGCGCCAGTGTTAGTATCTCACATGTGCAGCTGGTCTGTACAGCTAAATAAACCCGTCTGAGATTCAAGGTGCTGGAAATCCTTTGAAGCACAAAATTAGATCATTTCAGTGTCAGATGTGAAGTTAACTACTCATGCTGAAGAACATTTGCAGTGTTGGGGATTTAGATGACAGAATAGAGCTGCCATTCAAGCCGATGTTTCCTGCTTAGACCAGTGGAAAGAATGCATAGGTGCTGTTTAACTTTATTTTAGGGGGTGGAAGACAGCCAGTAAACTAGCACGTGAAGCAGAGTTCCTGTAGGGAAATAATGAAACATGCACACCATAAAATTCTGCTTTAATTTGTTGTTCTACTAAAAGTTTGTGAAATCTGTGTATGTTTGGATCCAGTGCTGCATGCATGTTTTATTTGGCCCCTTGGCGACATTCACACTGTGGCTGTCATAAGTACAGTTTTGTCCTCTCTGCTGTGGGTGTTCCTACATTTTTTTCTAAGCCAAGCACTCACACATGGTGGTTTCTTTCCATGCAGCAGTCATAACAGATCTGTCTGATGAGCCAGCTCCCTCTCTACCCTCAGGGTAAGAAATAAACATGCTCTTGTGTTCCACCCAGGATCTGCGATCTGTGTCTCCACTCCTCCCTGTGTCTACTTCAGAATGTGTGTCTCTCGGTTTCGTTTTAATGTCAGAGGTTATATTATAATTAAGTCCCTCCTCAAAATGATATTCAGTACATCCATTATGTGAATTTTTGCTGTATAAATACATTGAATTTAATCCTTGCAGCTACAATTTAATTAAAAGCTTTCCATTTAAATCAGATTGGAACTATTTGGTTTTTATAAATAAATTCTCAGGATAGGATAAACGTTTGAATCTGCATGTTTACATGTACTTTATAAAAGGCTCATAAATCTTTTCGGATTCTGTTAAATCAAACTAAAAGTTCATCTTTCGTAATGAAGGATATAGTTTTGTTTCTTTTTAACTATTGTCAGACACATTCCTTTAGTATGCAATAGGAGGTTGTTTTTACACCTGGAGCGAACCATTTATGTGCCTACAGTACAGTATTCAGAGGGCTGCTTGGGAGTGGTGCAAAGTGTTGTGAAAGAAGCGATTCTAGTGAGGTGAAAGGAATGTTTTTGGTGATTACAGCGAAGCTGTATTGTGACGTTCTCAAAGTGAAATTCACAGTAGTTGAAAAATGTTATCTTTTTTTGTATTTTTATGTTCCAACACCCAATCAGGGATTAGATATGGATGTGATGCAGGGCAAAGGAGTGCATCAGAGACAAGCTATTTCAATCACAATAAGGAAAATAATGTTGACATTTTTAGAGGTTTGTTAGGGGCTTTAAATAAATCTAATTCATTTAGTCTTAGAAGGACTTTTAAATAATTCTTCATTCGTTATCCTCCCTTAGCTGCATTGCAGACCCCAGCCAGCCGCTGCCTCTCCTTTGCTCTGGTGTTCTCTGCCCAGCAGACTTCCCCCGTGTTCCTTACCTCCATAGTGGGGCTTGGCTGCGCTCTCTGCTGGTGTTCTTGATCTGATTTCCTGCTGGTCCTTTCTTAACTCCTGAATGCCGTCTCAGTGGAAAGCAGTCGTGATCCAGCCGTAGCTCCTAGATTCCCTAAACTGGAAGCGTCTACAGAGAACCTGCTGCAGCCTGGGACACTCATTTCTTTATTCTACTTTCCAAAGTAAATAAAGCACTGCGACTCAGTCAGTAAAATCCAAATCTGCCACATGAAGCCGAAACCAACGACCAGCAGATTTAATGATGTAGTGGAACCTTTTGCCTGTCATGGGGATTTTATAGTAAAGATGCAATTTTATTATTTTTTTTAATTTATATGCAATTTTTTTATAATTTTTTAGCTTTGACCCTCTGATATTATTAATAGCTGATTTTGATTCCTTCTTTCGTACTTAATTATGAGAAGTTATAGGAGCAGCTCTAAAAGAAAATTTTTTGTGGTCTTTGTGTTTAACATAACACTAACTATTCATATCAGGAGCGAAGGTAAGACCCCTTCCTCCTCTGTGTAAAACAGGATCTTATAGGTTTGATATTATAAATTGCCTTTAACAACTTTTATTGGTGGTTAGCAGAATTAAGACATGGGTATATGTGTAAAATGTAGATTATGTTAAAAGAAATTTCCCAAAGGCTGCGTCCTGAGGGCCACATTACCTACTTTGTTGTATGCTTATTAGAGACACTTAGTAGAGAACAATTGGAAGCTTCCTTTTGACCTAATAAGATAATGTCATTCTACCTCATAATGATAGAAAATGTGAAAACTTTAGCCATAAGTCAATCTGCTCATGCTACAAATGCAGTATGGATCGGAACAGAAACCTTGGTGGTGAGAACAAACATTCTCATGTTGACATATATTCGCAGAATTTTGACTACCGGTAGTTTTTGTTTTGTTTTAGTGTGATAAATTAACAGTTTCAGCAACACTACAGTAAGAGGAGCAAGCAAGGCATTCATTTTTTGTTCACTCCTCCTCTCTTCCAGTCAGTGCTTGGCAAAAATTCCTGGAATTTCCTCATTGTACAGATGGAAAGAGTAAAGGGTCGAGCCAAGACTGGGCATTGTCTGGGCAATTAAATGCTCAACAAACAGCCTTCACTGAAGAACAGTGAACAGGCTGGATTTGACTTCTTTTTTCTTTATCTCAGTGTGGTGACTTTTGGTACTTAAATAAACTCAATTCAAAATTAAAAACCACCCTCTGATATGTAGGGAACGTGGAAGTATAGAGTCTGTAGCTTTCTCTAAATCCTAACCTTTCCTTTGTGTCTGACTGTTTGAAATGGGGGAGTCCCTGTAAGCCAAGGTCCAACAGCACTGTCATGGCAACTGGTGCACAGCTGAACTCATCCATACAAACTCACACATACTAGTTTCTGTTGTAACCTTTTCACATGATCAATTTTATTAGGCATACTTTATTCATTTACAATGCGGTCTTTAAGATAATTGCTTCCTGTGAGTTTGGGTGCTTGTTTATACAAAGGTGAATCTGACACACTGGGAGGTGAAATTAATATAATCATCTAACACTCACCTTGTATCAGCAGGAGCAGCAGCAGCAAAATGCAGTGGCTGGAAGAAAGAGCAGAGCTAAGTAGCAGATGGACCTGGCTGCAGCTTCGTTTGTCTGAACTGGATGAGAGAAAAAAGCAGCTGGTGGAGATCCACAAGCAAATCCGCTCGACCAAGGTATGACTGGAATGAGAGATGCCGGTTAACAGAAACCAAAGGTGTACAGCATGATATACCCTGTCCAGCAAAAAGGCAGAAATCTGTTTGCTGTTTGACAAAACTTTTTGTCAAACAGTAAACATACCATTTATCACTGCCAACAGTCTACATCTAAAACATGATTTTGTTGAGTGAAAGCAATGCTGAACAGAAGACTAAAGGTGAAACCTGCNAAAGTTTGACCTGCTTTGCATCTTGAAGCAATGGGCTCTATGCACAAGTCCACTACTTCCTGAACTTACTGTAAGGCAGCTCATGTGTTTCCTGTCTTTTTCGAACTGATTATTTTAGGTGTGCCTGGCCTCAGTAACCATGACCAGACACACCTGGATTATTCAGTTCACCCAGTAATGACCAACAGGAAACCAAAAGCTGCCTTAATTTAAGGAAGTAGTGGACTTGTGCATAGAGCTATTTTACCGAGCAGGCTGATTTGCCAGTCGGGCAAAGGGCTCCTACGTCATGGAGTCTACTGATTATTTGCAGACATGGTTTTACAAAGCGACTGCATTGCTGTGTTTACCTTTGAAAGCCAAACAAACCTGTCAATGTTCATGAGTTCGCCAGACTCCCAGAGATGGAACCACTATGGGGAATATCACTACAACCTCCAGAAGCTACATCTGGATGACGGTCGCTTTCAGCTTCACTTCCACCTATCTGTGACCCAGTTTTTGGGCCCTGCTGTCCCGCATTGCGGGGTTGAATCACCCATACAGCAGAGGGTTTGGTGCAACAGCATTTTGGAGCTCAGACAGGAGCAAAATGCAGAAAAATCTGTGCGAGAACACCAGCTGAAAGAGAACCAGAAACAAGAAGTTGCTGCCAGCTGTGTCTCCCTCTGGAACTAAGGAACTACAGAAAGAGATCGGATTAGCCCACCAGAGAAACAGCAGCAGCAGGGAGAGGCTACAGCTGACATGGGCTGGATATAGAGGCAAAATTAAATGAGCTCAATAGTAGATCAGATAAGTCAGCGAGGCAGAAAGTGCGCTGAAGGCGGCCTAGAGGCTAGGAGTAGAGGCAGAGGCCGATTGGGAATAGGATAGTGGGATATCGGAGAAGCTCGCAATGAAGCCAGAGCTAGGAGAGGCTATGACTAGCCCGAGCTAGCTTCTAGTGGCTAACTGCTAGAGGTGGCAGGAGTACAGCAGAGGATAAGCAAAGTTTGGCAAGTCAGACATCAGCGGAAATGGGGGAAAAGGCATCGGCTGCCCGGTGTCTGAGCCGGAGGTAGGAAGAAGAGTCCTTTTATGGCTACCTTAATATGGATTTTTTTAAACCCATCTAAAATCATCTTAAGAGCATCCCTATCTCATCCTTTGTCAACAATATAAACAAAAAAAAGGTTGTCTCCGCTGCCTTCTTTACTGTAACTCACAGCCACATCCTGATTGGATTTCATGATGCAAATGTAAACAAAACTTCTGATTTTTCAGCTTATACGAATTAAGCAAAGTGAACCATTCGCTGAGCTGAATTTGCCGCGTTCGCCTTGATCAGTTTTACTTCGCTTCAGTCCAGAACCTCCCTCTACATAGAGATAACATGGAAATCCTTCACTCCATCTGTGAAATTTGCTTTCGGTGTGAATGCACGTTAACAGTTGTTTGTTTTTTGCATCATTGAGGCATTTAAAATGGAACTAAGATGAGCCTAAGACAAAAATCCTAAAAACTCTTTTTTTATATAAGTAGTTTCCACTCAAGGAAGGAAAGCTACTTTTTTCAACTCTTGTTCTTACTTCTATCAGGATCAGCTGAAATCGCACTCAGCAGGTCCTGGCTTTATTAAAACCTAAAACAGAACCTTCTGAATTACCGACTGAGTTGAAATACTGTGCAATGTTAAACAAGGGTATTTAAATATGTAAAATGATGAATGCCATATATCAACGTTGTTTGTGTCTATGCGACTCTGTGTACATTTTAGGGTAGTGTGGTCCTTGCACAATCCCAGCCACTGACTGACAGGCAGATCCAGCAGACCCTGATGAGAGAAATGGCCAGCCTGTCCTGCACGGTGTCAGATACAGAGGCTGAACCCTGCAGCCCAACACGCCTTCTGTACAACATAGAGAAACAGGTAAGAGGATGGAAGCCACAGATACACCAATGATACCAGAATGAATCAATTCCACCTTGTCTGCAGAATATAGTTCAAGAGATTTCTGCCTTGTAATGTTAGGTTCTAGTGTGAGACTGAGAGGATTTGCCTCATCAATCAAATGGTGCTTTCTGTTAGAGCTGTGTGCAGGGATGGTAAATTAGACGCTGCAGGTGGAGGGAATAAATTGCCTCTCCTTGATGATGTCAGGTGGTTCTAATTATCTTGGGAGGGGTGATGGGAATTAAGTGTTACAACAGTTGAAGTTGACATAGAACTACATGCTAATATGAAGCTGTATGTACCTTCAGCCTTAATGGAAGTGAAAGTTAAATGTTCATTTGATGGTACAGTTTTTTTATATATAGATATTTATGGACACATTGCAAAAGAACATCACTATTGGGAAATTCTTTAGTATTTTCTGTTTCGTATTTCCGCATCAGTTGGATTATTGCAGCCAAGGCTGAATGTGTCTGATTAGGTGAAATTTGGTAGATAGTTTAATAAAGCCTAAGTTTCATTTCGTCTGTGGGATTAAATGCTTGAATTTGCTGTTTCCTCTCTGCAGAGCGCCCAGCTCAGCCAGATTGTAAACAGTCTGATGCCTCCTCTGAGTGCTTCGCCTCTTTCTAAACAGCCTTCAAAGGGAAGGAATAGCTTCACAAGGTGCGTTGAATTCCTAATTAGTACTGCTCTTCATTTTGGTTCTTGGATATCTTCAAAGTCTTTGAAAGGTTGAAATTAATGTGTGAAGGTCCAAAGGAAATCTGTCTGTTCCTTGTCTGTCTTGACAGCTGCACATTTAACCTGATTCATCCTTGTTGTTGATGTAGGTTACAGGTTGGGTAGAGTTTAAGTTACCAAAGCTCTGCAGGGTATTTTTAGTTACATTTTAAGAGGTTATCTTAGGTCATATCATTTGCTTTGACCAAGTCTAATGTGACGTCTTAGTCATTTAAGCTATTTGCAAAACATTTTTAATTGAGTGGAGCATTAAAATTCAACAGTTTTTGTTTTTAAAAACTAGATCCAAACCAATTTCCATATCAGAGCTAATATTAAGGTTATTCTTGGTTGGGTGAAAGAGCAAAGATCTATCTACAGCTGCATGTTATCCTTTTACATATCATATCTTAGACACAAAAATGCTGCATTCATTTAAAAAAAAAGAAAAAGGATGTTTTAAATATTTTATAGATAGATGGATTTTTGTCATACTGTTAGAGTGGAACAACATTTAAGGAAAAAAATGAGAATAAAACAGACCCCAGTCACCTTCTCTCTCACCTCTGTTGGGAAAACGCTGCATATGGACCCATAAAAGGAATAACTTGAATACTTATTATTTAATTATCAATCTTATAACAAATCCAAGTAAAATGAAATGGATGCCTTTGTATGACTATGAGGGTTTTGTGTTTCAGATCTGCTTGTACAGCTTCAGAACAAAAAAACAGTGCATGTTTTGCTGAGAACAACCTAATTGGAGCTTTTCTTAAACATCAAAACAGTAAATGTTAAACAGATTTCACTGTACTCATTAAGGCATACACTTTAAATTCTGCTTGATGTTGTATCACAACTTTGCATGACTTAGCGATTTAAAGAGAAAAACAAAAGGAGATGATTAAAAAAACGTGGGGATTTTCTTGACTTTTTCAGAATCTCTCTGACTTTTGTTTGAACTCCCAGGGCCAATCCCCTTTCCGGAAAGACTGGCAGCTGCACTGTTTTCCACTTCTGAAAAATATTTATCTTTGTGAAGGAATTGCTCGGAACTGCTTTATAAACCAGACTAATGATCAACCTTGAATGCATTTAATGATTTTCTAGCTTGATGGATACACTTTCAGAGCTTCTGTTTTCATGAAAATGTTCCTTTTAATGATTAGTTGATCATTATCAAAGAGAAGCAGCCCCCTCTTAGCTCCTTTTTGTTTTTGTTTTTTGCAAAATAAACTGTGAAATACATAACAGATTGTAGAGATTTTTATTATGAATATAGGAAAAATGAAATATTGGTTGTATTAAATTAAACCAAATGCAAAAATATATTTTCTCTGTACCCTAAATGCACAAACACCGACTAAGAAGCCAAACTTGCTTTGCAACGAGGAAGATTGAAGACAATTGAAATATAAAACCCTGAAGATATTAAATGCAGGAGATATATTTTATTCAACTAAGACTACTGTAGCATATACTGATCTGAATGACTGTGGGAAGCAGAAGGTGAGACACCATATGGCTGCAGAGTCAGGATTTTAGGTCTTAATCTTATGTTGTGGCTCAGAGTCTTAAATCTTGCTGATGCTTGCGATGGTGCTTTTTAATCCTTAGCTGAAGATTTTGTCAGATTTTTTTAATACTGTACAGTTCTGTACTGTGCTTACATTATTATTATTTTTTTCTTTATTTTGTGTGGGTGGGAAGCAGTAAATCAACGTTGTTTTACTCAGGCCTGACCTAAATAATGTCTTTTGGTCCTTCAGCCATCTTACTTCTCATTCTTTAGTGAGGATTAAAAAGGAACATGCAGTTTAAAGGCGTTTCTGCTTTTTTATTTCTTATTTACCAAGAGAAAAAGTATCTGAATCAGTTGTTTTAATCTATAGGAAATGTTGAAAATGAAAAACACCTGAAATGGGGCTGGACAATGCAGTTATGCATTTTTTTGTTTTTTGTGACTGTATTTTTGTAAAATCTGGATTGTCTTTTACAAATTCACCACTTGGGTTCCCATAGCGAAGTGACATCATTTTGAAACTTTTTGACCTAATGTGCACTCATAACTGATAAGCTAGATCACTTTTTATTACCGCTTGCTGTAAACATTTCTTGTTATATTTTCAATGTTTGTTGAAAAACATGATTATTTTTACAAGCATGTTTCCCTGCTTGAATTTCGTTTCCCTCCAAATTTAGTTCACCTCCCAGAGGGAATACCTGAAAGCCAATCTAGTTTTTGAAGGCAGTTTATTTCAGTTTTTTTATGAAACAATTGAGAAAAAAACGAATAATGTGGAAGGATATGGCTGAGATTTTCAGGCCATATAACCCAGCCTTTGCCTGAAATAACATCCTTTTTTTATTGCCCTTTTGAAACATAAAATTTTCACAATTAAGCTAAAATGGTTTAATTGCTCGGCCAAACCAATAAAAAAACCCTCTGCAATTTGCCAGATGCCTTAAGTTATTTACATACATTTGGAAGAAGGTGCTCTTATCTGATGAGACAAAAGGAAATTTGTAAAGTGGCATATTAAAGATTTAAAAAATATTGAACGCCTAAAAACTTAAACCAAAATTTTCTAGCTTCTAAATTAAAGAATCAAAAAACAATGATAGTTTAGGCATTATACAACAGGACACAAATATATCTTGCACTGTAGAATAGGGCACATTAGGTTAAAATGAAGAACAACAGTTAACTCACCTAAAATCATAGACATAGCTAGAGCTAAAAGTCAGTAAATTACTTTCAAAAGTATTGCACCACTGGCGTCATGTTTTTTTCAGACATGCTAAGCAGATACAACATACAGAAGGACCCTTTCTTATTGACTTGATAATTATTAAGGAATCAGAAAGGTGTTGTTAAAGCAACATTGAAGGGCCAGAGAGCCACATGCTTCATGTTTCAGACCTCTGGTTTAGATCCGAGTTTATGTCCAGGTCTGAATCCAAAAGTGAACCCTTGGGAAACTTGGAAAACAAAAATCAGAATGTTTTCTGTATTAATCTGACAACGCTTGAGCTGTTTCCCCGAAATATTTCTAGATTTTAAAAGCTGATGAAGACAGACCCCCTAAAGAAAATATGTTTCCACATATTTTTCATATGTTTCAAAAATAAAAACAAATTGAAATCGATTTACCTATAAAATTCTGATGCCTTTGGTTGTAAGGTTTTAGGAATAGGAATAATTCTGCAGGGCATTATCTGGCTGGACAAAATCTGTATGGTGTGCTGATGTTCTGTTATTTAGGATCTGAGGTATACTGTAAAATAAAGGCAATCAAACAGCCGTTCTTTGTCAAGCCTGATTGCCTGAACATCCGTTTACTCCTGTCAGTGGAAATAAAAGCCTTATGTTAATAGAGCTGTGGTGTAAGATGGTATATGTAGTTGTCCTTTCCTCGTGTTTATTGGTGTGACACATCTGTTGAAGCAGCACCTTTTTAGTGCATGACTAAGAACTATGGCATTCTTATTATCTCATCTGATCTGTTTCTCACAGCGTTCATGGAAAGGATGATGTTTTTCTAACTGGGACCTCCAACAGAAGGACATTTAAAAGCAGAAGGCTCCTCAGGGTCGATGCATCATGTGTTTGTGCCCGCACCCGGCCCCTGATCTCATACCACAAACGCAAATTGTTGTCCTTTACCCCCTGTAACACCGCCAGATCACCGGTATGCTTAAAGACACCCCATCATTTGACTTTTTCTTGCTAAAGCTTAGCAAAATATAGATGCCAAAGAGCATATGCATATTGATTTGATCATTGGGAATTAAAAAGACATGCCTCCTAAATTATTTTCTTCACAATATAAAAACAACTTAAGAGAAAGGACAGGCTGCATGTTCAGTTTATATTGCTGCTCTCCTTTTTGTTTGTTTTGAGGAATTTTGGCTTAATGTTGAATTTAGAATACCTTCTCTAAATGTCAAAGAGTCTACTATTACTATGCTCTAGTGATGAGCTAATATGAAGTGAAGTAAGATTTTTTATGTCTTATTTTCTTTGTTTATTCCAGAAAGCAAGAAAGTCCTTATCTACTCTTCTCTCCACTTGCACCTGTGAATCTGTTTGTTTGTGCTCTGAGCTTGACTGTAGCTCCAGATCAAGATTTCACCACGTGGAGGCTCTTTCCCCTGGAAAATCTTTAGGTTAGTTATGGCTCTGGAAAACATATCTTGTTGTTGGTGCAGATCAGCTCCTGTGCTGGCTGCTGAAGATTTTGGATTTATATAAAATCCAAAAAGTTTTTACAATTAAGGTCCATTCTGCCATGATTTCATTCAAAACCATCTTTATCAAATGAAATGACACAATATTGGTATTTAGAATCCATACAAGTCTAATTAAACATGAGATATTTGACAAAATCTATTTTTTTTCTTACACTCTTAATATATATGTGTATGTATGTGAAATGTCACATTAAATATATATCATACCTTCTTCCCCCCATCTTGTTAGTAAAATTCTGTTTAGTCCATGAAAAACCTACCGTATTTTCACGACCATAAGGCGCACCGGACTAAAAGGCGCACTCTCAGTTATGTGTCCCATTTCTGTATTTAACACACACATAAGGCGCACCGGACTATAGGGCGCGTTTTTTATATACAGGTACATGTCCTCTACTACCTTTAAATACCTCAAAACTGAGTATGACTGTGCTTTATTCATGTATTTATTACAAAGTATTAATCAAACCTGGCAGCTGGCCTTGAGTCAGACACATCCCAGATGACACAGCGCTGTGGTCACTCCTAAATTAACTTAAAATCCTGAAACCTGCTGACGGAATATGTTCGCTTTTATTACCGGTATCCTGGTGCCTGCAGCTAAAATTATTTAGATGAAAAACACCTGCCAGCAGCCGCGGTGAACGAAAGGATTTCTCCTGTCAGCGCACCGCTGGTATGTGGGGGTCTGAGCGCCTCAGACAGAAATAGATAATCTGGATGAACTGACTGCAATTATTAAGTTTTCAGGTGGACTTTCTCACTTAAAAACATATTTATACTTATTTATTCCCACTGATCACAGCAAATATAGCTGCAAGATTTAGATTATTTAGATGAAAAAACACCTGCCAGCCACCGCGGTGAAGAGGAGGAGGAGACGCGCCCGCGGCTGTTGAATTAAGTTTTCAGGTAGAAAAATAGAGTGGGAGCAAACCTGAGTATGATTGTGCTTTATTCATGTATTTATTACAAAGTATTAATCAAACCCATCAAAGTCATCATCCTCTGTTATCCTCAGCATTCCTCTGAATAAAACAGCTGCGCTAAATCAGACATGCCAGTTTCCCCTTCTGCGCTGTCAGTCACTTTCCGTGCAGCGCAGCTCCTCAGAAATGATGCCGGCTTTTGCGAAAGCTTGAACAACAGAGCCAGCAGACACAGTCCATCTACAATCCATCCGCAAACGGTGGCGTAACTTGCCCGGCGCTGCCTTCCATTTATCATGAAACTGTGGTCTCAGTCTGTCATCCATCGCTCCCACGCCGCTCGCAGCCTTACTTTGAACGGGCGCGTCACACCGATGTCGAGCGGTGGAAGTTCCTTTGTCAGACCCCCGGGATAACGGCGAGCACAGCGTTCATTTGATTCATCTTTTTTTCACATCGGCTGTGAAATGGGCACGCAGCGATGGTGATGCGTGGAAAAAAGCACCTGGTCTCCTCACATACACCTGCCTTTCATCATCTCCTCATTCATCCAGCCTTTTCATTTGCATTAATATCATCAGAGCGCTGTGTCTCGCTGTCAGCTCCCAGATCAGCTTCTCTGATTGGTTGATGCGGCGCGTCCAGCAGCAAAACTTCAATTTTTCCATCTGAGCAGCAGCAGCGCGTTGGCGGTGCGTCAGATGCTTAAACGCTCCCGACGTGCTGCACCAAAATGCGCTGCAGGACCTTTTACTGCACCTATATGCGCGTCAACCATTGACTTTGCATGTAAACTCGCTGCTTCTGCTGCACCTGCTGGGTCCGGTTCACACCGATGTCGAGCGGTTGAACAGCGAGCACAGCGTTAATTTGTTTCCCCATGTTTTTCACATCAGCTGTGAGACGGACACGCATGGAGTTACATATTAACAGCGATGGTGAGGGGTGGAAAAAAAACACCTGGTCTCCTTACATTCAGCCACTCTTTCATCATCTCCTCAATGAGGTGGTCTCAAAAGTCGCAGTTACAACACACATAGGGCGCACCGCACCATAGGGCGCACCGCACATTTTGAGGAAAAAAAAAGACGTTTAAGTGCGCCTTATAGTCGTGAAAATACGGTACAATAAATATGAAGGGAATGATTAAATTATTTGCTAATATCACGCCACTTTAAGTAGTTGGCATTGCTTCATCATTATAGTAACTTAAATGCAATAAAATGATCATAATCATATATTTTCGGCCTCAGTAATTTTAGAGCTGCCTCGTATGTCTTGGATCTGTGTGATGTCTAAAACAGTGTAGCACATACTGGTCATGGTGGGAAGGATTTTTTTTACAGATTATTTATAAATTTATCTGGGATCTAATGTGAATCTAGAAATAATTAGGAAACCTTTGAGCAATTCATTGTTTCAATTGCACCTGTTTGTTAATGAAATATGAACAAATTGTCCTTTTTGAGAGTGAATTATTAGCTGATTTAAAATAACCAGTTGAGGAAAATGGTACTAATTTTTTGCCACCAAGTTAAAGATTTTTACTTTCTCCTCCCAGGCATGTCTTCAAGTCATCATGTTCAGAAGATTATGGCCAGAGAAGAATGGATCCAGAAACCTTTAGTTTTTAATTCTAAACTGTTGAATCCACCAAACTATGGGAGAATCAGCTCCTCTCCAAGGCACAGTAAGATTTTTTTTATAAATAACCCTTCCCTTCCTTTTTTCTGCTGAGTTTGATGCCTTTTATTCTACTTTACTTAAAAAAAAAATAAAAAAATCAGAATCCCACATATCAGTTAGACACTTTAATAGCAATTTCACCAATGATCCTGCAGTTCCTAACCAGTTGAGGAAAATGGTACTAAACCTTCTGAATAAAGACTTCAAATTAAACGTTTAATGCAACCATCACATTAGGTTGTTGGTATTGCATGTATAAAAATTCCCCTGACTTCAGCTCCTTAGAAAGCCACCATTGGGTCTTACCAGGTAGTTGAGAATCAAAGGCCAATAAGACAGGAACGATCAACACAGAGTCAGGGTTCAACCAAAACTTAACACATTTCCTGTGGAGGGAATGCATAAGTTATACTGAAAAAAACTCAGGACTTTGGTTATTAACTTCTCATATATAGGTAATAAAATTGCTTAAATATATAAATGTTTATAAAATACTTTAGAAGTTTAAGAAATGTTTTTAATTGTATTTAAAGTCTGATGCTTGCTCGGATATTAGAATTCCTGGGCTCAGCCACAGTTCTTCCAAGCTTACTTGTAAAAACTATATGAATTAAATATTTGAGCAATGCAGTTTAAATAATATTACATAACTATTAGTATTACATAACTGCAATAACTTGACGGATGATCTCCGATCTCTGTATCTTTTGCAGAACGAGTAAATACTTGAATGTCCAGTTTTCCAAACCTTTTCTTTTTATTCCTGTTAGAAGAACCACACTGTCTGCCTAAAGGATTCTGTGAACTAACAACAAATTGTGTTTGTGTGGTTTTCCATATTTATAGATTAGGATTTTATTTCTACATTAACATCGTAAAACCCCCATGGATTTGTAATCCTGAAATGGCTGAAAAGCTAGTGTGCACAAAGGAGCCTGGTTGAATATAGATGAAAATGTCACATTTTCAGCTCCCTGCTGATTTCATTTCAGTTTTAATGATTTTATTCTGTTTTTCAAACCCAGAGGGAGGCAGTCTGTCAGTAGTAGATTACTCAAAAATGACAACCTAACATCTTTATTTAGAGAATGTGGAACCAAAGTCAAATTCCTTTTCTGTGTGCCCAGACTTAGTGAAAAATGTTGATCTAAATATATCATTATTATGGTACCTTAATTTGAAAAGGATCATGCTTATCTTTCTGTCCGTCCTGAGCAGTGGTGTGCACAGACTTTTGAAGGGCAGGGGTGGAAAGAAAAAAAGGGCAAATATAGTACATGCTTATCACTGCAGAAGATACGTTAGCACATGTTTTGCATTATTCATTGTTGCTCCTAATAGTCAATATAAGGACTAAACACAAAGAAATGTATAGAATAAAGACCAAAAGGAAAAAAAAGGAATAAGTTTTATTATAATTAGCATTTAGTTTACTATATAGTCTACTTACTACAAATTAAAATTACATTAACCTTTGTTTCTTTTTTAAAATGTATTTTCGCTCTTGCATTTTTTTTTGTTTTGGAATGTAATTCAATTTAGTTTATTTAAATAGCGCCAATACATGACGCATATCATCTTGAGGCACTTTACAGCGTCAATTCAACCAGATCATACAGTCAGATTGGTTCACAGTTTATGATGAAGTTTATTGATTAAAAACAAGAGATTATTCAGTAATGGTCAATTCAGAATTAATCAAGTGCTTTATATGCTGTTCATAATAGCCCCATTTACACTACCCTCTGAAAAAAAAACAATCTGTGCCAAGCTTGGATCAGTTAACCTTGTGGTCGTCACACTGCTAAGCAGAATCATCACTGGAAATCATGTGGCACGGTAGGGAAGCTATTATTTTTATGAATGTCAGAAATGATTACGGATTCTGACTGTAAGGAGATGGCGCGGTCTGGTCATGAGCTCTTTGTTATTTGAGAACCGAGCCAGAACTGAACCCTACTGATGAACTAGTACCAGTTTAGCGCAGTTTGGTTCAGTTTGAATGCCATTTACACTCAACAATTATCCTGGTTACTGTGCTCGGACCCATCTCTGCACAGTTTCCAAAGGGTAGTGTAAATGGGGCTATTGAATACACCAGCCGGTCCAACTATACAAACACAGAGAGCTCTTTAAAAAACAGAAACAAAATTCAGCTAGCCGTAAATACAGAGATTCTCAAGAACTCTGCTTAAAGAAGATACATTTTTTTTTTTTTTTACCCATTATCATTTTGAGTTTAAAGATTATGCTCCAGATAACATGTTGTCTGGGGATCATTAGGATATGATCTTGTTCTGGAACCAATGCCTGAAAAGTACTATTTGATGGGACCAAAGCTGCATTCTATTTCCAGCACGGTTAAAAGTAAATACTAAGTGGTAAAATATGCCAGAAATAAAAGAGGCTTTAATATTTGTTCTGTCAGATTATTTAAAAAAGATAAATAACTTCAATGAATTCGGTAAGTGGAAAAAAAACTAAAAAAAAACAAACAAACAAATTACTTGAAATCTGGTACTGTGATTAGAAAGCGAAACTTACAAAGGTTGTCTTTTTGACATACAAATTTATCAGAAGGGAAGCTTAAGAAAATCATTAAAAGTCTGATTTATGCCCTGTCTCTATACTTCTAGGTAGGAAACATAAGCAACATGTCCGGCGTAATACGATGGGAGTCTTAGGTCTGTCACCAATCAGGTCGCCAGAAACTGCTTGGAGGCAGAACAGGCGAACCAATCAAAGAAAAAGGAAGAGAAGACGACTTTTTAGTAAAGGTGAATAATGTTTTCAGTATGTTTTCAATGCTTAATGCAGATGGCACTGGCTGAAAATGATGTTATGTTTAGTAGTTTAATAGTATCTCTGAGATTTTACACAAATGGTCATGTCTAAACAACTGCCAAGTCTAGTAATTGATTTGAAGGGCCTTTTGCTTTTACTAGACAATTGTTCCAAATATTTATTACCTAGTGAAAAAGTTCAGCCATAATAATCAGAAAGATGGCTGCTTAAAGTTTGGCTTTCCCTATAATGCACTTCTATGGCTATAAACTGGGTCTACAGGGTGCTATTTTACTGTTACTGAGCATTTTTACATACATTTCTAAGTTGAGTGAAACACTGTTGGCTGTCCATGACTTTGTCTCACTTTTACAAAGCTTGCTATTTTGTGTGTAGATGATCAGGATGTCCTGTACCAGCTTTGCGATCTTGGAGACAGTTCAAATGAAATGCTTGAGGAGAACTTTGGGCAGTTCACGCTCAGCTGGGCCTCACAGGTAGCACACTAAATGTTATTCCATTGTTTGTCCATACATACTTTACAGTAGTACCAGTAGGAAAAGCCAATTAATGCTCAATGTTTAAAATTAGATGTCATTTATTTGTACATTACTATAGTAATTTACTTTAAATAACAAAACTAATACTCTGTGTAAATCACTCTAAAAGTAAGGGGCTTTATTTTATCCATTCAGCATCTTTGTTTCATAATTGAAGGTAAATCAACTATAAGTTAAATGACTTAAATGGTTAATAATTATTAACATTTCAGCTGAAAGGCAGGAAATAGAAAATAAAATCATTTTCAAAACACATAATTATAAGCATACACCATAAGGCTACGTTTACAGTGCAGGTCTTAATGCTCAGTTCTGATTTTTTTTGCAAAATCCGAAAAATATGCGGCTTGTATCGGATCTCCTTTGTGAACTGCATTCATACAGCTTAAGTGTCCCGCATGCGCAGTAGAGGATGCAATGATGTCACAAGCAAGCGTGCTCTGTGTTTACTGAAGTAAACATGGATGGTAGTGCTGGAGCTCGTCTAGCGATCCTTCCCAACCTTAAAAACTTACTAAAGATGGTTTAAAAAAAGACTGCACCCTGCATTATAGTCCACCATGGTTGTTGTTGTTTTTTCTTCTAGCTTCTGGGTAGCAAGATGCCGAATAATGACCTTCGTTGAGTATTAATGACATTTAGATCAGATGAACGCGACCTGGCCGTTCAGACACAGGTTGCATTTGAAAAGATTAGATGTGTGTCGGATTCAGGACCACATAGCCAAGTGGCCTAGATCGCATTGGAAAAAATCTGATCTGTATTGTTCAGACTGCCATGAAAAGGTCAGATACAGGTTGCTTACGGGCAAAAAAAATTGAATTTGGGTCACTTCAGGCTGCTGTGTGAATGTAGCCTAAGTTTACTATTTCTAATTTTATTTGGTGGAAGAGGTTTATTAAAGTTTGATAAAATTTTTAAATTTCATTACCAGACAATAGTAGTTTGTGAAGAATAAAAACCCAGCGAAGCCAATTTTGGTTAAACTAGTGAACTCTCTTGTCCTAGCAGATGGAGTTTCTTAGGTTAATGAATGAGCTCACCTGTTTTTTTCTGTGTTTTTTGTTTAATATCCTGTATCATCATGTCACCTATATTGTCAGTTTAACAGAAATTATTGTTTCCAAGCACACAGTTAATTTTATGTATGAGAAAAATCATAGACAAACCTGAAACTTAAAGCAGTGTCCACACAATGAGAATCATATGTATAGAAAGTCTTCACTTTACTCTAGATGCTCATATTCAGAAATAACTGATGGTTAAAGTTCTGCTCAGGAATCCACCTGGTATTCAGTAACAGCTAAAAGCTTCCAGATCTTCCCTATTTTCCTCTAAAATAATCCTGTACATGTTGGCAAGTGAAGCAGGTGCTGAACTGAATGACCTACAGTAATGACATTTCCACTGAAGCAGAAAACGAAAGTAGCACAAAGTCAATAGCTTCATTTCCAGATGCAGAACAGTTGTTCCTAATTCAACAGCCCACCTCTTAATTCCAGCACCAGTCATAAATATGTTTCAGTTTACAAGTTTATATTTTGCAGCATGTCAATTTTAGAGCTTTTTCAGCTGGCTCCCTAAATCTAATGTTATTTCTGGTAGTGGGTTTATCACATAGAGTCCTTACAGTAGATGAGTAGAGCTCATTCAATTGCTCTTTATTTATGTTCACATGTTTCGTTTCTATTTAGGGCAAACAGGACAGAGGTCGTGTATACAACATCAATGACGTTGTCATTCCCATGACCCTTTCTAAGGTTGAAAAACTGCAGTACAAAGACATCCTGACACCGAGGTAAACAACAATAATGTAGAAAAAATAAAAAAGAATACACAGAATTCTGTGACTGTATTGACTCCAGTTGTTTGGATAGACAGATATATATTTCATGTTCTTTTTAAAAGAGATTTAGAAGTAAACTTGGTTATATTGATTAGAACAGTAATGGACAGCATCTGTCTTTTATTTAGTTGGAGGGTAATCGACATCCAGGCTCTTAAAGGAACCCAGATGGGAGAGGATCAGAAAGTAATGCTCACTATTCTGAACATTGACCTATTGATGTTTTTATTGAATAAAATGTTGATTTCATCTTACAGTGTGTTCTTTTGTGTTGTGTAAAGATTGAGGATCTCAGTGATGACGTCTTTGCTCGGAGGCACCTGGCTTTAGAACAGAAGGAGAAGCGGCGCTGCCCGTCCTGGGGAAACAGGGGGTGGTGCAGAGGCTCCACAAGGTGGCTACACACAAACAGACTCACTCACTAACATAGGGTTAAAAATGCACGCTGCTGCTTTGTTCATCTTTATATAGAAACGTGTGAAAGCTGGGTGTAGGGAATTGTTCTCATGGTAGTTTCCAGGGAATGCTTATGTTTTTTTTTTTTTTGTTTTTTGTCCTCTCCAGATCTGCCAGCAGGCTATCAGGTATCAGAGGCGGGGTGTGTACATCAGGGGAGGAGAGCTCTGTGGAGAGGAGGTGTTCTCAGCTGGATTCTGATGAGCAGCCGCGGTCAGAAGAGGGGCTGGTATGATCTCAGACTGTTTCTGAAACATAAATTAAAGAATATGATTGAGTTCTACTGAGAAAGGAAACGTCTCAAACCGCATCGTTCTCAGAGGGATTTGTTTAATTATTGATCACAATACCATCCTGTTTCCTCCCTCTCACTAATATATAAATTAATCATTCTTATTTGGGTTAATTATAATCCAGCATTCTCATATCAATATTTATTATTAGGAAACCAACAAATATTCTAGTTGTCATAGTTTTAACAAGAAGACTGTGACCAATTTGCTTTTAGGCTACTTATTGTCTCTTTAGTGCTTAACATTACTTGAATTAGTTTTCTATAACATCCCTATCCATACTAACATGTTATTTATCCTTTGGCATAAGAAAAGAATTTCAATGAGCAGTAATGAGCCTCATATCCTCAGCCTTTTTCAGTGAGGCTTCTGTGAGTTATAAAGCCTCTATTGGTTCTTCAGTCTACACAGATACTTGTCTCCACTTGTTTCCCCCGATCCTGCTTTGATTGTAAGACTCTCTGCTTCTATACTGTGATTTGAGAGGGAACAAGCAGCTACTTATCTTGGCTTTTCTAATCAGTGTTCGCGTCACTATAGATATGCTCTACTCCACGACTCTCCAGTCCTCATGCACCTCAGCACCCAAACAAACCACGATTAAAGCTGTAGCTCTGAGCTCAAAAGAAATAAAACAGACATCAAATAATTAATTTGATGCGGGGACTGATTCAAATGAAGCATTTAGCAGATGTTATTTTACAACTGAAAGAGTTTCATACACTGTTTACTTCTTATGATATTTGATAAATATTATAGCAATGATTTATGGTTGTCAGCCAGCAGACAAAATCCCCTCACACTATTCGCTCTGTGCTTACAGCAGCCTCAGGCACCTTGGGAATCCCGAGTGTTTCCTCTGGATGAGCATGAAGAAGCTGTTCTGCTTTCTGATGAAGTGAAAATTCCATCTGGATGGACAGAATCCAGCTGTCTTTCATCAAAGCCCTCAAGCTCCCTCCACTCCCCAACCCAGTCTGCCTGTACTACGCCGCCCTCTTCTGGCCAGAATTAGAGCTGTGTGTCCAGGGTCAGCTGAGGTTTTCTCTTTATAGGTAAAATAAGACGGCTTGTTTGGTCACTATTCATTAATACGACTTACTTCATTTCTAAAAGTCTAGAAGTATTCTATCCAACATTTATGTTATAGTTGGTTTTAAATAATTTAAATTAAGTCAATCAAGGGACAAATTAACTAATAGATTCATATCAGTTGGAATCGATAGTGGAAAGCGTCATGTATTATTTCTAATATTGTATGTTGACCAGTCAATTAAACAATATATCCTTTGTGTTTCAGCTCTTCTTACACGAGCCTGAAGAAATTCACCAGAAACCTTTTAAAGGAAGACTGGAAACAGTCACTGATCTTTTTTTATTGTATATTATAAATGTAATACTTTCTTACAAGAGTGAAATGTTTTATGGAGTATGTCACTGTAGTTTTAACTGGCTGCGGTTTGAGATTTTAATGTAAGTATTAGACTTTTTGTGATGTACTATAGTGGATTGATATTGGATATGTATTTAGTACATAGTATTTATTCTCAAAGTGCTTTCTGGAAAGATGTAAAGACTTAATAGTTCCGTTTGTTGATTTAATCTTTTAAAAATTGTTCACATGTGTTGTCATTTTTGTCCTGATATTTTTAATAAACAGTAAATGCTGTCATTGCAAACATTGTGGATTTTAATGCTTTTCCAAATTACTCTTTTGCATCATTTTTTGTTTTCTTCAGTGTCTTAGAGGTTACTAATCATTTTTCTAGTTGTGATTTGTTGAAATTTCAGGGATATAAAAAAATAGTAATGAATTTGAAATAAAAAAAAAAATCTAGGAAATTTATTTGTTAATTATGGTGGAAAATAAGTATTTGTTCACCCACAAACCAGCAAGATTTCTGGCTCTAACAGAGCTGTAACTTCTTCCTTAAGAACTCCTCTGTCATCCACTTGTTACCTGTATTATTGGCACCTGTTTAAACCTTGTCCACAGCCACAAACAGTCACACTCCAAACTCAACCATGGCCAAGAACAAAGAGCTGTCGAAGGACACCAGGAAGAAAATTTTAGACATGCATCAGGCTGGGACAAGTAGATCTACAATAGGCATGCAGCTTGTGAAAAAAATGAACTGTGGGAGAAAATTTAAGAAAACGGAACACATACAAGACCACTGATAATCTCCCTCGATCTGGGGCTCCACGCAAGGTCTCACCCTGTTGGGTCAAAATTATCATGAGAACGGTGAGCAAAATTCCCAGAACTACACGAAGGGACCTGATGAATGATCTGCAGAGAGCTTGGAACAAAGTCACAAGAGCTACCATAAGTAACACACTACACCAAGAGGGACTCAAATCCTGCAGTGCCAGACATGTCTCCCTGTTCAAGCCAACACATGTCCAGGCCCACCTGAAGTTTGCCAGAGAGCATATAGATAATCCAGAAGAGGATTGGGAGAATATCATGTGGTCAGATGACACCAAAATAGAACCTTTTGGTAAAACCCCCCCAAAAAATGTGGGACAATTCCAACACTTTGTAATCCATCTTTTTAAAGATCTTATTAAAGATCCATCTTCTTTTGTAGGAAGAAGAATGCAGAGTTGCATCCCAAGAACACCATACCTACTGTGAAGCATGGGGGAGGAAACATCATGCTTTGGGGCTGTTTTTCTGCAAAGGGGAAAGGAAAACTGATCTGTGCTGATGGAAGAATGAACAGGACCATGTATCGTGAGATTTTAAGCCAAAACCTCCTTTCATCAGTGAGAGCTTTGAAGATGAAACATGGTTAGATCTTCCAGCATGACAGTGATCCCAAACACACCGCCCGGGCAACGAAGGAGTGGCTCCATAAAAAGCATTTCGAGATCCTGGAGTGACCTAGCCAGTCTCCAGACCTCAACTCGATAGAAAATGTGTGGAAGGAGTTAAAATCTGTGCTGCTCTGTCACAGCCTCGAAACATCACTGCTCTAAAGGAGATCTGCATGGAGGAATGGGCCAAAATACCAGCTACAGTGTGTGTAAATCTCTTGGTGACCAGGTTATGTTACAAAGTATTGAGCTGAACTTTAGTGACTGACCATATACTTATTTTCCACCATAATTTACAAATATATTATTTAAAAATCCTACAATGTGATTTCCTGGATTCTTTTTTTCTCATTTTGTCAGACCTCTCTCATTATTCTAAGAAGGAGAACTTTAGTGGCTGACTAAATACTTTTTGGTCCCACTGTTTGTATATATGAATATATCTATAATTATATATGTATCCACACACACACACATATATATATATATATATATATATATATATATATATATATATATATATATATATATATATATATATATATATATATCGATTGATAGTCTGCAACATGGCACTTCTTACAGTACATCTCAAACTGTTGGTTTTAAGAAGATCTAATTGTGAAAAAGAAAACTTCTTCAGTCTGTTATGATGTAAGGCAAATTGTATCTTGAATAAATGCTAAATTCATTCCCTTTTAAATGTATCTATGAAAGTTAATGCTTGCCTCAAATACTTTAAAATAATGTCAGTGTAAAGGCATTCCTAAAACATTTCAAAGTCACTTTTCTTCTGGCCAAAGTTGGAGGGAAACAGCTTGTGCTTTAATCTTGAATGCATAATGCTGTTTTCCTTCACAACTAGAGAGAGGCCAGATGTTCAGATGGTTGCTAAAGTCACAGCCCCGATTTCATGAATTTATGTATCAAACTCCATACCAAGGACTTGTTACGTGTCCTGAAGAGTTGGAAACTCAGTTTACCCAACAAATTTTATAGCAATACACAATTAGCTGTTTTGAGGTCATTAACATGATTTATTAAATCAAAAGTACAGCACTTTATTTTAATTAGCAATATCCCATGCATGAGGATTTTATGAGAATAAGTGTTTTGAATACTCCTGTTAATTCAGAGCATTTTACAGCTTAGATTATACTCCAATCCCCATACAAGTGACCTTGTTAAATTCCTGTTCTTGCTTTTGATTGGAGCTTTGATTGACGGACTATGTTTTTTAATAAAACGTTAAAATTATGACTTACAACTTGTGTGGAACAGCCGCTTCTCTGCTAATAAATTTATCTAAAGCATCGAGTGATCTCAATGTAAAAGCAGAATCATTGGGGACTTCCTAAATTAGACAACAAATAAGCATAATGAAATGCATTTTAACAATATGCACAATAATTATATATACATA